TCCCTATATGGGATCCGAACCCGTGGCCTTGGTGTTATCAGCACCGCACTCTCCCGAGTGAGCCACAGGCCGGCCCACTCCCAGGTTTCTTCAGCCACTGAATAACAGAGATCCTGGGAGAGTCCCTTGTTTGTTTTGTTTGTTCATTTTCAGAGTAGGCTAGGATGTTAAATTCAAGATACAATTGTCAGACCATATTAAAAATGCAGGCAGCAATGCAGAGCATGGCTGGCTCATGTCAGCCAGACGTCTGAGTGTAACCAGAGGAGGAACACACGGACAGGGCCTGTGTTAATGGAAGTAGGCACCAAATTGCATGGCAAGCTCTGGCTCTTGTTTCTCCTGTTCCCTGTCACCCTCCAGCCAGAAGAAAGCAGCTCATATGAGATTGCTGCTTAATGAGCATTTCTGTGATCTAGAGATCAAGGTGCTTACACCTCAAAAGGAGAGCTCCCATGCTGCCATTTAGGAGGATTGTTTAACTGTCATGGCAGTTAGGATCTACCAGAAGGCAAGACAACTGATAAGTGGGGGTTTGATGTTGACTCTTGTGCTGGAGACTCATTGCTGCCTTTGAGGGTGTGGTCCAAGAGGGCAAGCAAAGTGCTGGTACTGGTCTCCCTGCTCTAGCCAGCCTGGGGAGTTGTGGCCGGCACAGAGGGCTGAAACTGAGTAGGACCAGGGAAGGCCAGTGTAGGTTCATCTCAGGTGGGTTAATTATAGCAGGCCGTGTCAGGGGAGAGGAAGTTTTTAACGACATATTGGGGTTTGGTTTTTTCCCCCATCTTCTCACCTAAGCTAGTGAAAACAGTCCAGATGTGGGCTGGTTGGAGCTCTGAAGCTCTGTGGATTCTGCCTTCTCCTCTCCCCGCTTCCTGCCCCATCCCCCGTGCCATCTGCCAGCTGGACTGTTAACTGGCTCAGTGCTCCCTTTTGCTGCGTCAATCCTAGAAGGTCATGCTTGTGATTTGGGGTTGGTTTCTCAAGTGTGCGGGTGAAGTGGACATCTAACTATTGATTTGTTTTCTTGCATTTCAGTCGTTCCAAGGAAGTCAAGGACGAGCATACCTCTTTAACTCAGTGTAAGTGTCTCTGCATGTACAGACAATAGACCCTGCCTTCTCTACCATAGTAAAAAACCCTGTGGAGCATTACTCTCCACAATTGGTAGTCAGTTACCTTTGGGGAATTTTCTAGGCAGCATTTGTGGCTGAAAATAATGTATTCACAACACTACCCTCAGTAAGCACATCAGAGCATTGTAGTCCCATACGGAAGAAGCTAAAGAGGTTCTGAGAGAGATCCTCAACATAGAGGTCTCATAACCAGATCTGTGATATGTCATTGGGAAGAGAACAAGGACGAACAAAAGATACCAAGATGAGCTGAAGGACCTAAGGAGGGAGGGAAGGCCCAGTTAGTGAAGGGTCTCCCTCCCTTACTGCAGGTGCCCAGTGTACACGGCCCTGAGCCATCACTGGGCACATGATATGACCTCTTCCCTGGGAAGGGAAGGTGAGGCTCACACAAGCCTGATGAACTGTAGAAAGGGATATCTAGCATATTCAGCTAGAGATAGTTTCTCTGTGAAGGTAGATAGCATATTGTTACATGGGGCTCACCCATCCTCGTGATCAGGACAAGACTGCGCTATCATGTTTGACATCTTCGGCTTAATTCTGTTCTCACTCAGTAAGCTGTGCTCAGGTCTAGTGATTTCACAGTGTGGTTGTCAGTTTGTCACCTTAAATCATAAGATGAAAAGCATTTATTAGAAAAATTAAAGTCTAGGGCCGGCCCGGTGGCGCACTGGAGAGTGTGGCGCTTGGGAGCGTGGCGGCGCTCCCGCCGAGGGTTCAGATCCCATGTGGAGACCAGTTCCCGCTCACTGGCTGAGCATGGTGCAGACGCAACACCGAGGGTTGTGATCCCGTTGCCGGTCCCCGGTACGGGCGCGACACCGAGGGTTGCGATCCTGTTACTGGTCAGTAAAAAAAGACAAAAAGGAAAAAGAAAAATTAAAGTCTAAACAAAGTCTCAACCATAAAGACTATTTTAGTAGACCCACCGAATGAGAACTTGCAGATCTGAAATTCATTCCAACTGAGATATTTCCATGTGGCTACCTTTTTTTTGGGGGGGGGGGCAGGGTTGTTATTGATTTCAGTTTTATACTGTCATCTTGGTGTTGGCTTCCCTTGGGGCAGCCTGCTCAGTTAATTTTTGCTGGAAGCTCATCTTAAACGACTGATGTGCACGTGACTGACTACCTGTTCTCTCTTTCCATCCCTTGACATAGAGTTAACGTGGGCTGTGGGCCTGCAGAAGAGCGAGTGTTGCTAACAGGACTGCATGCAGTCGCAGACATTTACTGTGAAAACTGTAAAACCACGCTGGGCTGGAAATATGTAAGTACAGAGGAATCTGATTGGTAGAGGACCTCTGAAGGCAATAGCCGAGAGCCTCGTGCTACAAGGATGCTTTCTTCTACTTGCATCCCATGACCTGTGGCACTGTCTTAGGACAGGAAGCTGAGCTCAGAGAGCAGTACCTGGCACAGTCTTCGGCCAGCCACACTCACTCTTCCTTTTTGCTGACACTCTCCTCCTTTCATTCCTTCACACCCGTGCCTGAGACACACACATACCCACACACACCTCTTCAGATTTAATCAATAATAATAGCATATAACATTTCCTGACAGCCTACTATGTGCCATGCATTATTTTATTTACTGTTCACAGCATCCTTAGAGGTTAGGTGCTATTTTCATCTCTATGTTATGGATGGACATAATGAGACTTAAGGAGGTTAATAGTATGTCCATGGTTACCTAGCCATTAAATGGCATCAGAAAAAGCCTGAAGGATTAGTCAGAAATGCTACAGAGTAATAATGAGGTGTCATTGTAGGTTCATCAGTTGTAATAAATGTACCTCTTGTGTGAGATTTTGATAGTGGGGGAATCTGGGGGCGGATGACGGTATGTGGAGTCTCGGGGGGAATTATATATATATATAAAATATTTGTATATTTTATATATATATATATATATATTTTGGTCAGGGTTCTCTAGAGAGAACCAATAGAATATGTGTATAAAATATGTGAGAGGGGATTTGTTAGGGGCGTTGGCTCATGTGATGGTGAAGAGTCCATGACATGATAGGCCATCTGCAAACTGGATGCTGGCAGCATGGCTAAGTTTGAAGACCTCAGAACTATATATACGCAAGAGTAAAGTATAGTTCCATTTAAATCAAGATTGAAAGTGAGCTGATCATTAAAAAACACTGGTGCAGGTGGAGCCTGCCATGGAGCTTGGCAGCACTGCCTTTAGATGCCATTTTCCACATCTCCCTTGAAATGTTAAGGATTAGAAAGAAAAAACCTAGATAGTGTACTTTGTGATGCCAAGATGGTTTAGCAACAGGTCCCTATGGCTGGCTTGGTTGTTTCTTGTTTGTGGGAGAAACTGGTCTTGGCCATTCTACTCTCTCTGTGCAGTTGCCCACTCTGGGTGATCTGAGGGGACACAGTCTGGTTTTGATTATCCAGAAATGTTCTGTCCCTTGTTCTGTTTCCCGCCGTCTTGGCTGTCTTATTCCACTGAGGATGTGTTGAATTAGAGACAAACCTGAGTTGGCTGGTTTTGCTTCTTGCTTGAGGTTTAGGTGAAATGATTCACTCATTTGACAAAGTTTTACTGAAAGCTTGGATACAAAAATGAATGAGATGCAGTCCCTGCCCTCTCATGATGCCAAGGAGGAAAGTGTCGTGTAAACAAAGGAAACAGCTTGATAAGTGTAGTGATATGTACAGGACAGGAGGGGAAGATCCAACTCCCCAAATACATGCTGATCATCTCTTATATGCCAGGCCTTCTTCCATTCCATTTTTCCTTTTGACCCTCCAAATAATCTTGTGAAGCAGGTCTAAATATCCCAATTTCATAAGTGATGAAAAGGAAAGTCAAGTGGTTAAGTGATGCTTCTGATGCTGGGAAGCAGTAGAAGTGGGATCCATTCCATTTTTCCTTTTGACCCTCCAAATAATCTTGTGAAGCAGGTCTAAATATCCCAAAGTGATGAAAAGGAAAGTCAAGTGGTTAAGTGATGCTTCTGATGCTGGGAAGCAGTAGAAGTGGGATCAGTTTCTGTAGAGCCCAGATCTAGTGCTCTTTCCACTGGAGTCCAGTCCTGATATTTTGTAAGTGCCTATGTGATTTGGGGACTGCTGAATTTTCTTTTTTCTTCTTCTTTGTCATTGTCTTTTTTTCTTTTTCTTTTTCTTTTTTTTTTTTGCTTAGTAGGAAAACCCTCACTCTCTTAGTTTTGCTTTCTCTTCTCTACCCTGAACACATTGCTATGGAACAATAGGTCTTATTTCCAAGCCACATTCCTGTGTTGTGTGTACACACACACACACACACACACACACACATACACACACACACACACACACACACACGGAGCCAGGGAATAATGAAGTGTCAGGGCAATTGCTGCTGAGTCCACAGCTCTCGTGTGTGGCGTGTTTGCACATTCTCTATGCCCTTGCTTCCTCTCCCTTTTCCATTTTGTGCAATGATTCTTGCACAAAGTCTGAACTCTTGTTCTGAAACCCAAAGCCCCTAAAATGTTCTTAGGTACTTATACTTGCAAATAAGACAGCCCACACCTACACAGGGCTTCTTTCTGTGGGGCTTATTAGCTGGGAGAGCCCATAGTGCTATAAGTTTAGAAAAGTAACTTGCCAGGTGGTTTGTATTGAGTTTTTCCTCTGGAGGCCTGGCAGTTGGGTGGGGCTTAAGGGCTGCCAGTTTCTCTAACCTGTGGTTTATATAGCTCCTGTCTCCCTGGAGAGAGGCAGTGAAAGAAAAACAGCCTTGACTCATCTGACATAGAAACGGCAAGAAAAATGAAATAAAAAGGGGACCTGTTTGGCCTCACAATACTTTTTTTTTTCTCTTGCTAAGTGTCTTTTTTCTAAGCCTAACATGTACAGTTTAAAATTATAACCAGACTTCTGTGTTCCTAGAAACTAGTGGGAATGACAGAAGCTTTATAGATTTATCCATAGAAATCAAGGATCCCTAGAGCACAGTGCTGATAACACCAAGGTCAAGGGTTTGGATTCCCCTACTGGCTAGCAGAGAGAGGGAAAAAGAGAGAGAGAGGTGTTCCCTAAGATTTTATACACACACATACATATAAGTCATTCAGCAATTATTTATTGAAGATCTGTTATATGTCAGGCCGTCTTCGAGGGATACAGCAGTGAACAAAACATGAAAATCTTTGCCTTCCGTGAAGTTTATATTATAGTCATGGGAGGCAGAAAATAGGCAAAATAGAAATGCAAATTATAATATATGTTGGAAAGTGATAAGTATTGTGGAGAAAAATAAAGTGGGGGAAAAAGGGGAGAGAGAGTGCTGGGTTGGAAGTTGGGGTTTTAAGTAGAGTAGTTGGGAAAGACCTTATTGAAGTGGTGACATGGAGCAAAGATCTTATAGAAGTTCTGTTGTAACATTGAGAGAGTCCTGGTGCTGCCTCAGTTCTGCAGTTACGTGGAGGGACAGAGTGCTGGAGCGGTGGGAATTCTCTGAGTCCGAGTGAAGCTGGGACCAGACCTCAGTGGTCCTGATGCCGGTCATCAGCAACACTTCTGCTTCTATGCTGCGAAAATCACCTCCCTGTCTTTGGTCATTCAGTGTCTTTTCTCCTCCTCTGTGTTTCCTAGGAACATGCTTTTGAAAGCAGCCAGAAATATAAAGAAGGCAAATACATCATTGAACTAGCACACATGATCAAGGACAATGGCTGGGACTGATGGAACAGCGTCCACCCAACCCAGTGTCCACACGAACGCCATCCAACCGAACATTCTACCCAAGCGTGAGAGAGTTCCCCCTGTCTTCCACCTGCCTATCCAAACTTTGTTACATTAGGGAATTGGAGAATAAATCCCTTTAAGGCTCCTGAGAGGAGGAGTTTGTTACATTTAATCAACACTGTGAAGTCTGTTCTACAGCAGTTCAGCCAGTACAAGGTGCATGACCTAAACTCATTTAACTGGGTTAATTTCATTTCTTAGGCTGAAAATATTAAGATACGTGTGTGTTAGGTAATCCTCAGCATCTCATTCTCCAAGTAGACTGATCCTATAGGAAAATTCACCTGAAAAGTCTCAACAAAAGAGTGAATTCATAGAGCTCATCTGTAAAATCGATTAACCAGGATCAAAGCAGCCAACCCTGGACATTTTCAGAATTGCATCTGCAGCAGAACCGAATTTCCTTAGGGACATCAGATCGTGGGACCGACAGCAGGGTAGCTCCGGGTTCAGCAGTACACTGTCTCTGTAAGACAAAAGATTCTTAGGAATCAAATTTTGTCCCCAAGGCTTCTTGTCTAGATCTTTCCAATGCTTTAGCAGCCCTGGGACAGTAAGTTGTTCTCCCCACTTTACTGCATGGCAGATTGAGGTTCAGAAGAAGTATTCAATTTCTGCTCATAGAGAAACAGTTCCTCTGGCTCCCAGGCCCAATGTTCTCAATAAAAATACACTTTTCAACTTTCACATTCCTAAGCTGACTTGCCAGCACAGAAATCATGGATTTCCTCTCTCTACCCCTTCTGAAGGAGTAGCCTGCTTTTACGGATTTTGATTAGATGCTTTGCTCAGGGAATGTCCTGGCTGTTGATAGTCCTTTCCATAAAAAGAAAATGGGGGTTAAACATAGGTAGGTGCTTTGTCTTTAAAAATGTAACATGGTGACATACACAAACCGGACACAGAGTGCCCTAGAATTCCCCAGGGGCAGAAGAGGAGACCAGTGCGCCACTGTTCTTCCTTGGGGATGGGGCCTTTGAGTGTTGTGTGGATCAGAGCAGGCTCTGGTCAGACCCTGGTTCTGGTTTTTTTTTTTTTTTTTTTTTTTTTTTTTTTTTTTTTTTTTTTTTTTTTTTTTTTTTTTTTTTTCAAATCCTATCCATTGAGCATCCAGTGGGTGCCTGGCACCATACTTGGTGGAAGAGATTTCAGTAGAGTGTTTGATTTTCCATAACTACAGTGGAAAAAAAATAAACAAAACTCATTAGGCTTTCCCTTTGGGTCAGTGAAACCAAAAGTGCTTCTTAGAACTTTGGCTTCATTCATGGCTTGTCTGTCTAACACTTAGCAGTATTGGAGAGGCCACAACTGAGCAATGGAGATGCATCAACTCATGGCTTCAGTCAGTTCATTCTTTAATTTCCTCACCAAATTATCGACTCAGAGCATAACCAAAGACCTCATTCATTCACCCCAGGTAGGTTCAGGAAACTGGAGTTTGTTGGTAAAGTTTGGACAGGGGTGCCAGCAGTAGGGAAAGGGTAAAGGAGAGGTGAGAAAGGGCACAGCATGAAGTTCTATACCTCAGCCAGCAGCTGCCTTCATTTAGAACTGAAGTCCAGCCAGCAGACTCTCCATTTCCGTCTCCCTGTGCCACCCTAGGTCATACAGCCTTGGTCACCCTGGAGTATACCTAGACCCCCCCGGGATATTAGTCTCAGGTTGCTGATGGGTTGATTTGACGTGAATCAAGTACAGCCAAACTTGATGCCCACAGGTTGTCACCTGGGCCTGACTGCCCCAACTCCTATGACAGTAAGATCACGTAGTAGATAAGATAGAGTAAATCTTTACTGGTGGATTAGTGTGTACAAAAGAGGTGTCCCCCTTATAAAAAGATTTTCATGTGGATATATATAAAAGAAAGTTACTTGTGAAATATACTTTTGTAAATAATATTTAATTTTTTAAATAATATATTTGGTGCTGTTTTCTCAGATCCCCTGAGAGCACTTTTTATTTTCATTTTAAATTCTATGGTTTCCTCTGCATTTCTTGAAGTATATTTTAAGGGAAATAGTGATCACCAATGTACTTTTTTTTTTTTTTTTTTTTAAAGGTCGCTGTCACTTTAATCTGGATTGAGGCTTTAAAGCAATGCCTCTCTGCATTTTTTCCCAATGGAACAGACTCTGCAGTACATTACCAGGTTGAGAATCGAAATGTTTTCTTGCACCAGTATTGGCTAGAAAAGAAAATAAATAAAACCAAGTAAATTTAGCAGTAACAACTTAGAGTGATTCCTTTTGTTGGAAGAATTTCCAACAGATTGGAATCTTGTTTTTAAGTGTGGGTGTGCGCACGCACGTGTAAAAGCACTTTGGATTGTGCCTCCTGTTTTCTTTTTCATTGGGGACACTATACAGTTTACACCTCAGTTGCACAAAGTTTTTCTTCTCTTTCTCTCTTTTTATTTTTTGTTTCTGAGTTGACCAACAGCACAAACCACAAGGATTTTGTTTTCCTGAGTCTGCTGTTCTGCCGGTTTGCTCCTTTTTCTCTCTCTGTGTACAAGCTCCACTTTTACAGACTGTAAAGGAAATCTGTTTGTGAAGATCAAGCAGAGTCAAATCTGTGCTTTTGAGATGTGAGTGTATTAATCACGTATGCCAGGGCTCCAGTTGTTTTAGAAGCCCCATCATGTTAAACATTAACTGGTTTGGGTTAAAAGAACATTAATAAAATAATACACATATCTTGTAGATAAACAGCTTTTAAAAAAAATTTTTTTTTTTTTTTTAAAGAAGATGACCGGTAAGGGGATCTTAACCCTTGACTTGGTGTTGTCAGCACCATGCTCACCCAGGCCATCCCTATATGGGATCCGAACCCGTGGCCTTGGTGTTATCAGCACCACACTCTCCCGAGTGAGCCACAGGCCGGCCCAGCTTTTTTTTTTTTTTTTTTTAAAGGTCAGATTGCCTCAGGTTCAGGAAGAGGCTGGGAAATTAAATCTTGAACATAATCAATTTACGTATTTTTAAAGAATATGCCTCACATGAGAAAACATGCTAGTCCTCTAGCTAGAGAAAAAAGATGTTTATTTTTTTAAAAAATTGAAATAGTCATGAAATCTACTTGCAGTAAAAGGTAAAGCTAAGAAGAAACAAACTATTCTCATATTACCAAATTCTATCTGCCCATATGTTTTTGTA